ACTCATAAGGAGTTTACAAACAGCAGATACTATCTGAGGTATAAAAATAAGATCTGTTTAAAATATTTTTCTTTTCATTTACACGGTTTTGAAATTGAAGCCAAAAATGACCACAAGTTCCTTGTCTTAAAACCTCATAGAAAGATATCTCCCCACGCAAGCTGTTTTCACATGCAACAGTTCAACAACAGGAAAAAAAGGAAAAAAAGAAAAGGTTAAAATCACAGAAGTCTCACTCTTGGTATGATGCCTTACACAACCCCACATTATAGAGCATAACATGCTAACTTGTGTCTGTAATCAGACACTGACACACAAGAGCAAGACCAGCAAAGAGGCACCAAGCTGATGGGGTTGGAGCCAGTGCCCTACAGAGAAGGGGTCGAGAGCCTTGCTCAGCCTCCAGAGGAAAAGCTTTGTAGGGATCTTTGGCAGACAGCAATAATGGGATGTGGTGAAGGTCGAATACAAGTCTCTGAGGCACTTGTATAAAGAACACAAAGACAACAGACACAAACTTCTCCCAGGGGAGTTCTAGTCAAGCACTGGGACAAGTCTCCTGAGATGCAGCAGAATCTCCGGCCTTTAAGGCATTCAAGCTCAGGTGAATGAGCCCCAGAACTGGTCCAAGCAGACTCTGTTCTGAGAGGGGTGTTAGTCCCTCACAGATCCTTCCACTCAATGGCTGCATCACCATGATCTACAGGAGAGGGCTTGGCATTACACATACAATTTTATTTGCATTTTTCCTACAAACTCGTTGGCAAAAAAAAAAAAATGTACTAAACCCATGACCTGATAGGATAAAACAACCTTTATATAGTTTCTATCTACTTCACTGTTTGAAGTACTATAGCAAACATTAGGTATGCGAAGTATCAATGATATACAAACAACAAATATGGTCAAACAGTTCTATGGAAAAAACACATCTACATAGTAGTTACTTCTACATTCAACTTTATAATGATTGTTGCCACTTCCCAAACTTGATGGCTTTCATGCACCGCTTTTTTATATAATTTCTACAGAAATTTGGGGGGGGGGGGGGGGAAGGGATAAAAAGAATAAATGAGCACTATGAACGTGATATGAATGGGGTTCCAGCCCCGGACTTCTCCCTGTTAGCACAAAGACCTTCTCAGATGGTACTGCTTGCTTTCTCTCAACTTGACAATTACACCAAAGCCTCCTCAGGCAATAGATCCAACCTTTCCAACACAATCAGAACAGCCTGGATCACTGAGTAACTAAAATGGGATCCCCTACCACTTCTAGAAAAGGCCTTCTCCTCCAATCCTACCTTAAAAAAAAGGATGAAAACCAGACATAAGTGAAGAACAACACAACCTTAGACTTCTACTTCACGTTGTACAGTTCAATTTTAGCTCAAGCTAGTTCCGTGGGACTCATGGGTGCAGGTCTGTGCAGCCCTTGGGACACAGAAATCCCTCTTTTTACTTGTCTGTTAACCGGGCACTGTCTCAACAATCAATCCTATGATGCCTGCATTGCTGTGATGGGAAACATGGTCATGAATTTGGAATGTCTGGCTCATTAATACCAGCTAATACTGCTATGCATGACATCAGTTTGCAAACCAGGAAAAGAACCAAGAAAATGTATTTAAACTTAGTTTTGTCAAGTAAAGGGACAGTGCTCATACTGACAAAGCTGCTAATTCAAAAAAACCCTCCAGAGAGAAAATAAGCAAAGAAATAGATCAAGAGCTATTCAGAAAGCTCTTGGTCTTACTGGTCTTACATTACTCACTTGCATCAGCAAGCAGCTGATAGTGACCAGTGTGTGAGCGCACCATCATGATGTGCTTCAGCTGCACCAGCTGCAGAGTAAATCTGCTGTGCTGACAGCAAGGAAGCAAATGGCTATTCTTTATTTCTATTAGGTGACTGAGTTTTCTTATGAGCCCTTTCTCACAAACTAACATAGTCAAGTATTAATCTCTGTTACTGCTTCCACAGACGAGGTGAACCTTGTGCCTAAATCTAACATCTTTTGAGACACTGCTAGTGAAAGAGAAACCATCCAGCATTCACAAGGAACTGTTAATATGTAGAAATCATCATATGTTGATCTCCCTAAAGCACCGCAGAACTTGACATTAAAACATATGCACCAATGCTTATTCCAGTACAGGTTCCGGAAAAGCAGCTTAATTTTGGCTTCAGAAAATTATTATCAGGGTCTCCTTACACCGAAAGCCAGCTGGAGGGCAAAATTGCTTTTGGAAGATGAGAAACAATGCCCACACTGGGGATTTTCTTCGTACAGCAGAATTAATTCGGAAATCTCTTTCAGCTAAGCACAAAGTTTTCCAGACCAGCACAACACTAACATATAATTCAAGAATTTCTTGATTAAGAAGATGGCTTATTTTTGAATGTGAGTGGCTAGTTACAGTATCGGCACATCAGTACAGCTACTCAAAGCACTCAAAAGCCCACCCTGCATTTCAGCAAGTATTCACTGACGTCTTCCACTCAGCACTACCCTACAGTAAAGAAGCCAGACCAGCACAAAAATGGGAGTGGCACATTTTGTGAGATTACAAGTATGATTCCTTTGTAGTAATTTTGTCCTTTCAGTGGTAGCCAAACGTGAATAAAAATGTCTGAGGGTGACATTATCCACAACTCTATTTTTAAATTAGGTAAAATAATTTAAATAAACCCCAAAAAAATCGAACAAGAAAACTCTTCCCCACTTCCACTCAAAAAACCAAAACCACAAAAACCAAAACCCCCAAAATTCACAGGAGACAAAAAGCTCATGAAAACTGTCTTTTACTCCAGTAAGAAGAGAATGCAATTTCAAACAGAGCACAACATAGGATAGAGCAATGATACACACTGAAGCCTTCACAAACTCATATTAAGAGTATCTGCTGACTGAGCAAGTAGAAGTATTTGCACATACAGGCATACTGCAATAGGCTGAACCACACAACAGCTCATTTTAAGCTTTGGTGGTTTGGTTTTTGTTTGTTTTCTTAAGCCGGACTCAAATCTCTCACAGGTACAAATAATTCAGCATCTGTTTAAATCCTATACTATAATTAGGGGTTACTAACCTGACAGGGTTGCAAGCTAATTTTAGGACCAACTCTGGATGAGCTGACCGTTTACAATTTAGAATACATCCTTATCACTAAGATCACTTAGGCTTTCTTCCAGGTTTCATCTTTACCTGTTTACAAGAGCTGAACTAGGGTTTGAAGACGCTCTGTAAGAGCGTGCTGTCGATTAAAGCCCTGATTTAAATAACCTAAACCAAACAAAGGAAAGCCACAGAAGCGCCCCTCCCGAAACCAAGTTTAATTCCCGGTGGAACCTGGCAGCTTCGCAGTTCAGATGCAAGAAGCTCCAGCCGTGATGATCCTCCGTGAGTCTTCAAGAAAGAGAACCCAACCTACAAAGGGATCCTCAGCCATCCCTACGGAGGCGCAAATAACCCACCAGAACACAGGGCAAGTGCTGAACGACCGACTGCGCTACCCAGGAGATCGCCGTGGGAATCCCCGCACCCCAGAGACTCCCCGGGCACCACGGCACGGCAGAACTGAACCTACAATAACACAGACTGCTCTATCAAGGTCATCTTGTTTCGGCCCTGCGTGTTTAAAGGCAGGCACTCTCCGACGGAGCCGAGTATGAAATATTCATGCCGGGCGCGGAGCGGCAGACACGGCGCTGCCGGGCTGGGGGATGGCGGCTGCCCCAGGGCACTCCCGCGGGTGGCTCCCAGCCCGCCGCTCCCACGCTCCGACACCCCGAGCCCCCGGCGGGGTCTCGCCTCGCACAAAGGGGATTCCCCTTTCCCGGGAAGTTGGTTCTCTCCCGGACCCGGCGAGGCGACTGAAAAGCGGCCAAGGCCGGGTTCCCCGACCCGCGTTCGGGTTCGCGCCCGCCCCGACCCCCGAGTCCCTCCCGGCCCGCCCCGCTCACCATGAACGCTGCGGTCCCTCAGAGGCGGCGGCGCCGGAGCCCCATTCCCGCCCCGCTCCGCGGGCCTGGCTCCCGCCGCCCGGGCCCGCACGGCCTCGTGGGCCGCCCGCCCCGGGCCGCCCTCCGCGGGTGGGTCCGGCCGGGCCGGCCCGCCCCGCCAGCCGCGCTATTCACCCGCGGAGCCGCCGCACACCGGCACCATCGCCGCTCTCCGCCCCGCCCAGAACCGCCTGGGCACGCTCGGCCCCGCCCGCCACACGCCGCCCGCCTCCCGAACCGCC